GCGAGGGGCTTTCCCGGGGCGCTTCGGGGCCGCCCGTCTCGCTCGCGCGGCCCGAGGCGGACGGAGCTCCGGGCCGCGCAGTGGCGCCGCAGTGCGGGACCCGCGGGACACGCCGCTTCCCGGGGCGCCTCTCGAGCTTCCCCGCGCGCCACGCTCCTCCCCTTCAAGTCGCTGGGCCAGCTCCGCTCTGAGGTTCGTTGCACTATTACGATCGCACTGCTCGCTTAGCCCGGTTCCAGGACATTTGTATTCACCCATCTGCTCCATCTTGAAACTCGGGATTTTTCTTGTCTCTTATTAGGCTATTTACATTTTAAGAATTGTTGTACACCTGGCTTTCTTAATGTTCATTTTTCAACCTATTTTACTTACCTTAATGACATTATTGAATTATCTTTGGTCCACTAACAGTATCATATCATCATATAGATAATCTCTCCATTGATAATAAAACCATTATTGGAATCAGCAAGTGCTTCTTTAAGAATAGTCTCTGTATAAATTAAAAAGCAGTGGAGTAGGTCTCTTAAAAGCCTACTGAAGTTTTGGGAACAGACCACCTATAGTGGCAGTATTCAAGTACTGTGTTTTTCCTTTCATATTGCTCTTATAGACACAGATACTCACATATATTGCTGTGCAGCACTTCAAGTGAATCCCCATTGCACAGGCATTAAATTCTAAAACTCGTTTATGCACCAACACTTGGCAAAAACAAAGATTTCTTTGCTGTACTCATGCAATACATCACCTCTTTCTAACCTCCTTCCCAGAATATGACATTGAATCATCCCTGAAAATAGTAATGAAAAGTGAGGGAGAGAGCATTTGTTCCTAAACTCTGGGGGGGATGAATTTCAAGGCAGATCTGCCCAAATTTTAAGGCAGATCAGCAAATTTTTATGCTAGTTTGGTGTTATAGCTTCCCCCAAGGAAGCCTAGGAATCACAGTTACACATGCTGAGAATTCTGTGTTAGAGATCCCTAGGCAGGTGCTTCTCGCAGAGCTACGGTCCTCTGGGAAGGGGGTCAGGCCCTTTTAAGCCTGTAGTATTCATGTTTAAGCCATGGTTTGTGCTAGCCATGGTTGTTGCCTTAGGCATGAATGGTTTTCTAAATGTGAAAACAAATCACAGTTTGTTTTCCCTATTTCTGGTTTGTTTCTCTCTTGCCCTGCTTGCCAGCCGTCAGAGCGCTTGTGCTTTCTGGCTGGATCAGTTTCAAGACAGCAGCACAGACAAACAAGCCGGAGTCGAATTAAGCACACATCCTGACTTAGCGTTATGTGTGAACTGGGCCATTCCCTGGCCTTCACTTTACGGATAGCAATTCTGCATAGGAACTGTTCGGCTTGCTTTCTGTGAGAACATGGGATTGATCTCTTTCCTTGGAGGCTTTTTAAAGAGGGCTGAACAAGTACTTCTTATGGGTGCTTTGGCTGTAAAATGTTCAGGTCAGAGACAGGACTGAACAGGAGAATATCAGGAGGACCTTTCCTGTCCCAGTTCCAAAGCTGGTTTGTGTTGCTGCAGAGGAAACCAGCCCCCTGCCCATCGCTGTGAAGTATATTCTGGTTTGAAGGACGGGGAGAAGCGCAGGTGTTCAGAGAGCCTTCTAAGCACGAAAGTACTGCAGTATCAGGACCGCAGCCCCCCTTTGACAAGTGAAGGAACCATGGCTCTATTTATACCAATCACTGCATTGCATTTACATCCCATCCCTGCTCTTCTCCTCTTGTGCAGAGCCCGAGGTGACTTAAATAGTTCTCCACTCAGTTTCATCCTCATAGCCGCCGCCCTGTGAGGTGGGTTCGGCTGAGAGTGAATGATGGGCCCAAAGCCACCCAGTGACTTTCAGGGCTGAATGGGAATTAGAACCTGGATCGCCTGTTTCCCCAGTCAAACACTCTGATCACTATGCGGCACTGTTCTGCGAGAGGCTGGAATTTGAACTTAAGGCCTACAGCTTCCCTTCTGGATCCACTGGCTGCCCCTGACACCACGGAGCCAAGCCACAGCTGCACCAATATTCTCTCCGTCATCATTTCAGCACATTCCCATTAAATGATTCTCAAGGGGGACCTTCAGGTGTTTTCCTTGCAGCCCACCCAAACCTCCCACGCTGCGTTACACCTGTTCCTGACTCTGCGGCTGGGCAAGTGGAGGTGGGATGCACGACAGGACACCGATCCTGCAAGTCCCGTGTGCAGCGGATGCGAGCTGGGAGCGAGCGACAGCGCTGCCTTGCTGGATCACGTTCGGGGCGGCGGTCCCTGCCGGCAGCAGGGCCGGGTCTGGAGCAACGCCCAGTCCTGCTCAAGGCAGGGAGAGAAGGGTCGCAAACCCTTGCGCGCAGAGTCCAGGTGGCAGTGGCAGGCAGCTCGCCCCAGCTGATGATCCCGCCGCTGTGCCAGCAAACCTCTTGCCTGTGGGGAGCCCACGACCGGGACAGGAGGCAGCGGGGCCTGCTCCAGCCGGGTGTGCAGCACCACTCCGCCTTGACACGTGAGGAGGTGAGGTGCAGCCATCGCTGGTGCAACTGTTCCCTGCCAGTTTGCCCACCCCTTTGCAAAGCCCCTGCGCTCGCAGGGCGCCTTTCATAAGCCGTCTGGAGAGCTTCAGTACAGCTCTGGGCGGTACAGAAATGTAATAAATGACATATAAATAATACGCGTCTCTGAAACTGCAGCATTAGGCCACAAACCTATGAATGTTTAGACAGAAGAAAGTCCTACAATTTCCAGCATCCCCCGGGCTAAGAATGCTGGGAGTTGTGGGCCATGTTGCTGTCTAAGGGTACAGTCCTGTGCTTGTGTAGCTCCTCTTAATGAAGCTAACAAGACCCAAGGAGTGTGTCCGGCTTGCTTGTAACACCTAAAGAATTTCCCCAGAGGCCCTTGGGACTTTTGCATATGTGTTTACAAAAGAGGAGGCCTTTTTGGTGGTGGTGCCACAACTTTGGAACGTCTTCCCAGAAGAAGCACATCTGGCACGAACATTAAGGATATTCTTGGCACCAGGGTTTTGTTTTGTTTTTTTTGCATTTTGTTTCTTTAGCAAGCAGCTGGATCAAGCAGCCTTCCTAAGGCCACGGCCACTGATACGTTAGGCTGAATCTTCAAAGCCCGGGTGATATGGAGAGCGCCTGCCATGGCATGTTTATGCTGGTTTACAGCACCATTCGCCAGACGTCTTCTAATTCCCCCCCTTTTTTTGACAGGAAAAAAACCATGAATACAATACTTCACAACAGTGATAATATAACGTAACAAGAACACGATAATTAAGAAAAGAATAAATGATAGAGTGCCCCCACCACCCCGGAGACGAATACTACCACCATTCACATGCTATAACCATTAATAATATATAATAAACTTCAATTATATCCATATCCCCTCCAAAAATTCATATAATCTAGAGTGGGTTTACAGCCTTTGCCTTCTATCAGTACTGCTTTTACACAATCTTTCCAAATTTCATTATATTTATTTGCTTTCGTTAACCCTACAATGCCCATCGTTGGCTTTCCCAGCTGCAGGGATCTGGCTGCAGAACCGTGCTCTAGACTAAGGGTATGGGAGGGAAGGGGCTACTCCCAGACTGCAGCCCGTGGCACCCTCTCATACGTTGGACCTGACCAGTGGCCCGCTTGCCCGGAAGCAGGCCACCGCTGCTCTGCTGCTGTCTTACTGTTCATGCATGCCCTTTTCCGTGCTGTGCACATCTCTTCTGCGTCGCATGATCTTCTGTCTGCCCTTGGGATATGCTTAATCTAACATTCCGGCTTTTAAGGCAGAGTTCTCGTTTGATCTGGGATTTGGCTCCCCCTGTAGAACCTGCTATTCACTCATCCCCCAACACCTTCATGTGATTGACATAATATTCAGTCTCCCTCCATCCTGGCCTGTCTGTTCTTCTTTGATCTCAGAAGAACCAAATGTATTCTGTTTATAATTTGTCAGCTTAAACACCTCGAACATTTAGGAAGGCCTGTTCCATGATTGTTGCTTGCAGAAATCTGATACATATTTTGAATTAAAGTTGGAACTAAATAATGTAGCATGAAGCCAGGAGAGAGGGCTGGAAAACTTTCTGCGGGGAGCCAAAGGGGGTGAACTAAATGACCTAACCAGGTTTTCCCCACCTTTACCTTTGATGGTTCAAAGAGCCGATGAAGCGTGAGACCTCTAGTTTTGCCCCCTTGATGTCTCCCAGCTGCACTTTCCTGCGGCGCTGTTTTCTCCCTGTAACATAAAAGATGTTTGCATGTGTCTCGGGGGGGAAAGGCATGGAGAGAATCCAGGCCGGGTGCTCTGTAGGCAGCCAGCCCGCAGGAACTACTTACGCGCAGATCTGAAATGAGTATCTCTGACAGTCCAAAGCACGGGCTTGTTCTTCCGGTTGGTTTAGAGTATTGCTAGGCTGCCCCTCACGCTGTGGAGGGATCACAGTAGCGTTACATCCCAAAAAACAAAATACAGCATGAGGGAAGGCAGTGGGATTCAGCCAAGAGTGAACCAGGATTCAGAGTTCCTGGTTCACTCTTGCGGCCAAGCTGCAGGGAGTCGGGCTCCCCGGTATTAAGGTTCTGCCTTCTCCCCCTTTGGCTTCCAGATAATGCCCAGTCTAGCTCCAGTGGGGAGCAGCTGACCAGCCACCTCTGCTCTGCCCGTGGCTGGCCGAGTCTCTTTCAGCCTGAGGGCCGAGTCAAACGCCAAGATGCTCTTGGCGGTGGCAGGCAGGACTGGAGGCGAAAGGCCTGGAGTACCAAAAATCCAGCATCTGGCAGCATAAAGCTCTTTCTGCTAGTAATTAAGCCTTTGAGGAAGCATGTCCACCTTTTAGGAAAAGGGGGGGTGCCCTGGGGGCAGATGGTGAGGCCTTGGGCAGGTTTGAGGCTTGTCATCCCCGGGCTACTGAGAGGGGCAGTTCACGGTTCTTCAGATGCGTTGGCCTACAACTCCCACCATCCTTGAGCCAGCATCAGTAGTGGTGCAGGCAGCAGCTGTGGTCCAGAGCCACACGTTGAGGGCCACCTTCCTGCTCCTCCCCAGCTCGGGCTGCTTCCCGGCTGCGTTGCCTGGCGGGGAGACGCCGGTCTCCTCCCTTCCATCCATGCTCACGCGAGAGCCCACAAGCCACTGGGGACGATCCTCCCGAACAAGCAGGAGGTCCTGTGGGGTGGGGGCAGAGCGCATACTTTGCTTTTGGAGAGGCCCCGGCTCGATCTTGGCCCCCTGGGTGAGGAGAGGCCTTGGCGAGCCACTGTCAGTCACAATCAGCAGTTCTGGGCCAGGTGCAGCAGTAGCTTTAGTTTTCCGGTCCTCCACGCCCCCCGCCCCGTGACCAGTTCCACCACCCACCTATAAACTCTGCTCTTCTGTGTTGCAGAAGCTTCCCCAGGCGTTAGCGAAGTGATTTTTGTGGAGAAGGAACCAGCTGAGCGCCACGCCATTATTTCCTGGGAGCAGGTATCCTGTCTTTCATTTATTAGTCTTTTACCCTTCCTCCCTGCAACGTTCAAAGCTGCGCACAGTATACAGGGCGGGGCGGGGGGGCAGCCAAACTGAGCAGAAGTGGATAACCAGAAGCCAGGCTCTTTCCTGGGCGTGAGGGGGCAGCCTCAGCCCTCCTGCCGGTGGTCCAGGCCCATGACATGCCGCTCCTTCGATGGACTTACGGTAGATTTCTAATCCGCAGGGTGGGCAAACTGCAGCCTCCCCGTGTTCTCCGTCTGCAGTCCCATTCGCATAGCCACTAGTGAGGAACAATGGGAGCTGTAGTCCCACAACATCCGCAGAACCATGCCGTTGCCACTCCTTTCTGATTAGCCTCTCCATCTGTGCTCCAGAGAAGTGTAAAGCTGGCTAGACTGCCCCAGACATGGACGTTCAGCTGTGTTACCATCGCTAATTCCCATGGGCAGAAGCCTCCCTGAGGTATCTGTCGCATCACCTTTTAAATGCCACGTCACCCCCTCCTGCAGCCTGGCGTTCCTCAGGTCAGTCCCACACAGTGTGGAACAGCACCTCCCCCAGTGCGGCTGCAGCTTCAGTGATCCAGAGCGCCAGATGTTTTACGCCAGCCTTCCCCAGCTTAGGGTCCTCCAGATGTCTTGGACAGCAGCTCCCAGCATGGCAGGGAATGATGGGCATTGCAGGTGAGCACATCTGGGGGACGTCGGGTTGGAGGGGGCTGCTTTGGACTCTCCCTGTGGGAGGAGTGCTCCTTTTGGTGGCCATTTCCCTCCCTACTTTGCCTGCAGCACCAGCTGCAGAGCAGCCCCCATTGCAGCCACAGCTGTCCCCCGCCCGTTTCCGTGCGCACACCTTTGCCACCACCTCTGTCTCCCTGCTCGTACCGCACATTCCCGCTGCGCTGTCTCCCACCCCTCCTCACAACAGCTGCCTTCACTTGCGCGACACATCCTTTCAGAGCAAGCAGCCAGCGGGCTGGGCTCCCTCCAGAGAACCAGGCCAAAATGCCCAGCTCCGAGCAGTCCTGCCTTAGCACCCAGCTCCGGGGAGGGCCAGCTCTGCTTTGCCAGCTCCACGCTGACCTGTCGGTGACAAACCTGCAGCGTAATATGGCTGGCAGCCAGCCATGTTTTCCACAGACTGGCTGCTCATCACACTGGGTTGGGGATGTGCACAGTCTGAACCAAGCCGCTGAAACCGTCGTACCAGCAGGACTGGCAAACGCTCGTCAAGGAGCAGTGAAACCTTCTCTGAGAATGCTACCTGTGCGGAACATTTTCAAAACTCTCCATGCTCTGTTTTCTTCCCTGTTTTCTAAGCTCACCCTTTATTTGCCCCTTGACAAATTCTTAAATATTTCTATTGCAGGGATAACAAAGGGAGGCAGTATTTTAAGTTATTCATGGTGCGGCTTAGTATATAAACAGCCTCCATTTATTTATTCATTCTCGCTGGGTTAATCTGGGGCCCGTAACACTATAAAATAGAAGAGAGAGAGAGATCTGACCTGCAGCTGCATTTGCTTCCGACAGCCTGGCTTCGTGGAACTGCTCTTTCACTGGCTGCTGCCGCTGCTGTTCACTCTGCTGGTTGTTTATTTAGGAGGCAGAATGTGAGGGACTCTAATCCAGGATGGCAGAGAACGCGACACAGCAATGACATCAGGCCGTTGGAAGGCAGCTCGGTGGAGGGCTGTTGCAATTCCAAACAGAGTCAGCCTGATAGGTACAGGGTTGGGATGCAGCAGGGCGAGGGTCAGGCTTGCCTCAGGCCTTCAGGAATGCAGGGCGGGCTGGGAGGCGGCAGCAGCAAAGCCAGCAAATGGGTGTCCCGGGGCCACCATTGCGCGTCAGTCCTTGGGGAGGACAACCGATCTTCCGGAGGCGGAAGGGGTTGCATGGATGCGGTCGCGGGGCCACCGTCCCTCCATCCTGCCGGCTGCTCCCATCAAGCAGCTTTGGCGGGCGCTTCCAGCCCAAGCCAGAGGCGGCGGTGGAATTGCTGTGCACAGCGCCTCTCGCAGGGCCTTTTTCAGACCACCTGCGAGACTCTGGAACAGCCGTTTGTTGTCCTGCAGCCGAAAAGCAGCTTGCTGGAAGGCGACTCGTGTCACACACCCTCCTGACGTGGCACAGCCTTCCCCAGCCTGGTGCCTTCCCGCTGCCTTGGACGGCGACTGCCGGTGTTCCCTGCCGGCAGGAGGAGACTGCAGTGGGTTGTGTGGCTTGCAGACTGGCCGTGGGCGGCGGCTTCTGAGCCAGGAGCCAGGATGACTGCAAGCGAAGGCACTAGTCACACTCTTCCCTCCACCGCAGGCCTTCAACGGCACCTCGTTACTCAGGCGTCAGGAAAGCCTGCTGCCGGCTCAGTCAGCGCCTCCTGGTTCTTCAGGCCGTTGGTCAGGCGCCTTCGTTCGCCAGTCCAGAAGAGACCCAGGCAGCCGCTGAGTGTCTGGGGGTCCCTCTGCCCCACGCCTTCCCCACCTGCGGCCCGGTATCTTGCCCCGGCAGGTACTTTCACGCACTCTTTTCCCGGGAGTGGACGTATGGGTTCCTCTCTCAAAAAACTTGACTCTTTCCCCTTACATTACCCTCACACGAAAAAGATAAATTGTAGTGAAAATGATTTGCACCTTTCCATTTCCAATACAACTATTACCAAATGGTTCAGGAAGATGGAGTTAACCGGTAGACCACACTGGGCAGGTAAATGTGGCAATTGTTAATTTCAAGATTCGAGAAATGGCTTTAGTTTAAAAAATCGAAACACTAAACCACTGTCAAGGATAGGCAGTGACCCTGCGGCAAAGCCCGGGCTTGCATGCCTGTAGGGTCCATGGCCACACCTGGAGGTGCGGCTGAGGAGCAACCCTGCTGAGCACCTGGGCAGATGCAGCTGCCAGTCAGTGTCGACCGCACTATGCTAGAGGGACCCATAGTCTGACTCAGTGGCCCCGTTTGCACGCAATGGTGACGAGCCATGGAATCCTTAATCCGTTCTTTGTCCCGGTGCCACCATTTCGCATAAGCACCTCCAGGTCGCCTGGTTCACTGGCCACAGAGCACCTGCTGTGTATTCGCAGTGGTGGTTGCGTGTGCTACAGCCAGTCCTGCTGTAACTAACCCTGTGAGTCTACGTAAGGCAGCGTCCCACAGTCTGACGAAAAACTCTTCATCTGGGTCCCTGACCTCCTACCTGGGCGAACAGAGGATCCTTCCTGAGGAAACAGCGTGGAAGCAGCTGTCCCGCTTTTCGGGAGGCCCCGTTGCTATTTATGGTTCTTCACGGGGCAGCAGAGCAATGCAGGGCCATCCCTGTTCAAGGTGCTTGCAATCTGTATTCACGCAAAGGGAGCCAAGGGAGGGGTGAGCGCACCTGTGGCTGCCCATTCCTGGCCTGCCCAATGCAGAGCCTGTACGTGACACCATCTTAAACCGGTACTTTTGAATATGCCTTTATGTCGTAATGGGGAGCATGAGGCTGCTGCCTTCTGGGTTCGGTGCTCCCATGCTGAACTGGCCCTGTAGGCAAGAGACAAGGTGCAGTGCTCTTTACTCCCAGGTCGAATGTCCTTAGGCTGATGGGCAGAATTAGGCTTGTGGATTCGGGTGCCTAAGAAGAGCAGGACAGAAGCTTTCTCAGCCACTTAAGCTTTCCTGAGGGACCAGGAGTGGGCCGTGGCATCCGATGCTTCCTTCCCCAGCCCAGTGTCTTCCCTCCCTGGCTGGAATCCCCACACACGTTCCTGCTGCAGGGAAGAACCACGCCAGCGTCAAGACTGACTGATGCGATACCAGCAGCATCAAGAGGTGGCTTGGGCCCGTGAATGGCCCATGGTTAGAGAGCCAGGGGGATGCTGAAGGGGCTCGCTCGCTCGCTCACTCGCTCACTCCATGGAGGCACCCAAGGTGATGTGCAGAAATATCACAGCTTGCTATGAGCTGAATCGCCTGCCTTTGCTTTCAGAAAAATGCCTGTGTCCTTCCCGAGGATTTAAAGAATTTCTACCTGATGACAGACGGCTTTCACATGACATGGAGTGTCAAGTCTGATGGTAAGCGTATCCCAGCCCTCGCCTTCCCAGTCCTCTGCTCCCCTGCCCACTTCTTCAGGTCCAGTTATATGGCCTGCCTTACCATAAGCTGGTAGTGGGGGCAGGCCAGATTCGAGCCCTCCAGCAGCTGGATCAGAGGAGGGATCCCCTTTCCTGGAGCCCTTCAGCGGCATTCCACCCTGGCCTCCCACACTCCTTTTCCAGTTGCAGGAGCCCCGCTGCATCCCGCTGGGCGGGGAAGATGATACTCGGGTAGAAAAAACCTCTGGTTGCTCCCCAGTATAAAGCAGTCCTGTCCCCACGTGAAGCAAGACTGACCTCTGCCTCAGCCAAGCGAGGCTGTGGGAAACACAGGTCTCCAGTCCCTCCAGTCCCGTACTCACTGCTCGGGCAGCTCCTGCGAGGTCTCCGGCAGGAAGGGTGCTCCTTCCCACGCCTTCTGCTCTGATGCCCGTTGGGCTGCAGGTGCAGGAGCTGCTGCAGGCGAGGCGTGGGCTCCCCCCAAGCGCTCCGTCCCCGGATGCGCCACTCCCAGGCCTCTGCGGATTCTGCGCCGAAACAGTGAGACTTGGTACCAAGGAAGGTTCTGCAGCTGGTGCACAGTTTGCCCATTGAAGGGACTTCCTCCCATTTGCATAATTTATTCCAGCAGTTCTATTACTTTCGCACAATCCATTCTGGGTTTCTCGACACACAGTCACCCCCTCGCTTGCTACCGGGACAAAACCTGCTTGACCACCCTTCTATCTTCAGCAGAGTCTCCCCACACGCTCTCCAGCACATTTTCACAGCTCTGAAAGCTCAGACTTTAAAACAAACTGGCAAAGAAATGAGGATGAATCGTCTGTATCCAGCTGCAAGCTCTGTGCTCCCACAGACTCGCAGCACTTGCCCAGTAATGCCGCTTCTTCCAGAAAGCCCCATGCCCCTGGGCTCCATGACCATCAATGGCATCTCCAGGCTGAATCGCCTTGGCACGTCGCCTGCATACTCCTTGCCCAGCGCACCCACGCTCGCCGACTTGGAAGAGGCCGATGAGGAAGGAGGTAAGGGACACCCCCGTGGCCCGTGAGACCTCTGGCTTCTTTTCTCCCACACTGTCCTGGATAAGAAGCCAGGCATCGTGCTTGCTGGCCTTGCCCCACGAAAGCTGAGCCCCGTGGTCCAGACGGCTGCGACTCCCCCCTCCTGTGTCCGGGGCCTGTGGGTGAACGTCGGTCTGTCTCACCGTCCTCCCTCAAAGGTGACAAGGACCAGCCTGAGAAGCCTCACTTGGACTCGCGCAGCCTGATATTTGAGCTGGACCCGTGCGGGGGGAACGGGAAGGTTTGCCTCGTGTACAAACACACCAAGCCAGGTATGTTGCCAGCCCTAGCAGACGAGAAGTCGGCTGCTCTGAACGAGCCCCCCGGGAAGCTGGCAGGCCTCCTTGCCCTCCGGTCGAGTCCCTGTGCTCCTTGGGCTAGTGGCTGCGGCTCAGCACGTCTGGCTCAGAGAGCCTTTCGGTCCTCCAAGCAGCGCACGTGGTCCTCCTCCGCTCGGGGTCTGGGCGGGAGTGGGTGCCTGGCCAGCCCCCCCCCCCAGTGAGCTGCATGACCGAGCGAGGCCACCCCGCACCGGCGCTAGAGAGCCCCCCCTGCCTGCACCCTTCCCCTTGGTCGTAGCCTGGAGGCTGTAGCATCCCAGCTGGGGGAAGGGGCTTCTGTTCTTCCCCATGATGCGGCATCTGCTGCCCCCCCCCCATCTCAATTCCAGCTGTCAGCCCTGATTCGGAGATCTGGTTCCTGGACCGAGCCCTCTACTGGCATTTCCTCACCAAAACCTTCACCGCCTACTACCGCCTCTTGATTGCCCACCTCGGGCTCCCGCAGTGGCAGTACGCCTTCACCAGCTACGGCATCAGCCCCCAGGCTAAGGTGAGCGAGGGCACGGCAGCCTGTCCTGCACCCACCCATTTGCACACCTTTCCCCCGCAGGGCTTCGGGGGGGGGGGTTCGCCGAGGAGCCAGGTGGGCCCGCCAGGCACGCGTTGGTCTCAAGGAGGCCTGCCGTGCAGCATCCCGCCCTGGGAAGCCTTGGCGGTGGCCCCCACAGCGGCAGCCGGACCTCCTGCCAGACTCCGGCTCTATCTGTGTGGCGTCGGGCAAAACCCCTAATTGTACATGCGCCTCCACTCCTTCCCACCGCTTCCCTTCCCTGGAGTCCCCAGCCTCCTCCTTCCTCCCATCCTCCCTGATACCTGGCCCCTCTCTGTAGGTCCCTGCAGGACCTCTAAAACCCTGCTCCCTGAGCCCCGATCCTCTCCCCACACTTGTCCCGTGCAGACACGTATCTGGAGGGCTGAAGCCCCCCGCCCCCGGCTCAGTGTAAAGTCTTCCGGACGAAGCTCGCTAGAGCATCTCCAAAGGACCTTTTCCCCGTCCCCTTGAGGTGCAACCCGTCCCGTGCCAGAAGTCCATTGGCAAGAAACCGGGTGCCGTGGTCGAGGAACCCGAAGCGTTCCTTCTGGCACCGCACCCAAGCCAGTCGTTCCCCTCGGAGGCCCTCCTGTCCCTTCGTGGCCCAAATCCCCGGACAGGTAAGATTGACGAGGAGGCCACTGGGGCCTCCAGCTCCCGGAGTTCCTTCCCCGAGGCCTCGAAGGCCCTGGCGATCCCGACCACCCCCTGCCTGGCCGCGTCCTTTGTGCCACGCGGACCACCAGGAGCGGCTGGCGACCCCGGGCGCGCAAGGCGCTCCCCCCGTCCCTCTTGTGCCGGAGGCGTGCGCCCGGCAGGCAGCACACCTCCCTTGTCTCCAGGCCGGGGCGGCACAGCGCCGCCTCGGGGCCCCCAGCAGGGAGGCCCCGGCCCCAGTCTCCCGCCGCGCGTCGTCCCGGTGCTGGTGGGCGGCCGAGCCCTGGCCCTCGCCTCGCCTCGCCTCGCCTGCAGCGGCCCCTTGCCGTGGTGGCCCCGGGCCGGGGGTCCTGCTGGTCCCCCGAGGCCTCCTCAGCCCCAGCCGCCCCAAGCGGAGAGCGCCTGCTTCCCGGCTCCGGACTGGTGCCCGGAGGAGGAGCATAAGGAGTTTTTAACTCTGTTATTACATTGCATGTCTTCACATCAGTGCACAGCTATACTGTGATCTTATGCTGTAGCTTTGAACAGGATCGGCCCCAGGACAGAGCCCTGGGGGACCCCGCTTGTCACTGGCCGCCATCCCAATGATTCCCCACTAACGGTTCCCCTCGGCTTTCGGTCAGTCAACCATGCCCTAATGCACCGGACAGTGCTTTGGTGTATCCCAAAACTGCTCAGTTTCTCCACCAGGATATCATGGGGCACTTCGTCAAAGGCCTTGCTGAAATCCAGGTAAACCACATCCACTGCACCCCCTCCATCCAGCCACCTCAAAACCTTGTTGTAGAATCCCACAAGGTTTGTCTGGCAGGACCTGTTGTTGCGGAAGCCGTGTTGTGTGGCTGTCAGCCTCCCTTCCCTATCTAGCATCACTAGATCTCTCGCTATTATGAGCCTTTCCATTGTTTTTCCTACAATGGACGTAAGGCTAACTGGTCTGTAGTTCCCCATGTCCCTTCTACCACCCTTTTTGAAAACTGTTTAGCAACTGACCAGTTCATCTTAGGAAGACCTGCCTGAATATTTTGGGCTGCAGTGGAAGAAGAGCAGAGCAGGCAGCCGCACTTCTCTCCGCAAGCATCTCCACAGCTTGGGAGCCCCTGCGGATGAGGCCCTCTCCCCCATCCTCTCTCCCCAGATTTATCTGGCCGGCTCTTCATGTCCCCTTCCTGTTTTCCAGCAATGGTTCAACATGTACAAACCTATCACGGTCAACACGGAGCACCTCTCGGAGGAGGCGGAGTTATTTGTGAACAAGCTGGACCCCAACAAGGTTTTTAGGAGCAAAAGCAAGACTCCGGTGGTCAAGAAGAAGCTGCCATCCCAGCCCCCCTCCCAGAAAGGCCAAGCAGGGACGAACCCCAAGAATCCCCCGCCGGCTGGGAGCTCCTCGCGGAGACGCGAGGTGCAGTCCTGACTCTCTTCCACAAGTCGCGTCTCAGCACCAGTTCCCCGGGCAGGACCAAAACGTTTATTTTAAAGTATTTATTTAAGACCCCTTCAGGCTTTGGTTGAATTTCCTTAATGGCCATTACGATGCACGGTTTGGGGAACACACCTCCCTGGGGCGCAGCTTGCTAGCGCCGTCCCAGGATCAGCAAGCGCGGAAGGTGTCCCGGGACGGCTCCGTGTGGACCCCCCCCCCCCCCCGCCCAGCACTGCGGAGATGCAACGCAGACACAGCTGCCTCCCGGGAGGGGCCCTTGAGTGACCAGTGGAGCTACCTTTCCGACGGCATGTGAGCTCAGCCTGGCCCTCCCGGCACATTCCCGCACGGGGGGCGTGCTCTGCCCAGGCGCCTGGCAGGATGGGTGCCGACCCCGAGGGCTGCCTGCTGTGGTGCTGCCTCCGTGTCGCCCCCCCCCCCCGGGGGCCCCCCCGGGGCCCCCCCGCCGGGGGGCCCCGCCCCCCGGGGAGGGGCCCCCCCCCCCCGGGATCTGTCTTTTTCAGTATAATGGGTCCACCCCAGAGGTGGGAGCTGGATGGGGGGGTCGGGGCTGTGTGGAGGTAACAGACACGTGCGCAGGTCATGCAAAGCCCAGAGTGGTCAGCGTACAACCTGAGCAACTCAGCGCCCAGAGGGTGGCCATCTCCCCGTCCTTTGTGTGCGTGTGCACAAACTCAGGTGGGCCCTGCGACCGCCAGGAAATCACGTGCGCGCAGTGGCGCATCGCCTCCTTGGACGGTGGACGGGCATCGCCCTCGCAGCTGCAGGACAGCCCAGTCATGACATCGCCTCTTGTTTCCTCCTCCAGTTCACGGAATTTCTGCTGCACTTTTCCCAACTGCTCCGAGGAGGTTCCCCAAAATCCACAAATCATACACAAAGGCATCGAGAAACATTAAAAGCAGTTTTAAAGCCAGCGCAATCTTCCAAGCCACACTGAAAAGATACAGTTGAGTGTCCTCACGAACCCACTCAGGCGGGGTGCAGGCGCCCGAGCGCCTCTCAGACCCCCCAGCTCACGCTGGCAGTGCAGGCTGCTCCCCTCAGCCGGAATCGTGTCTCGGCCCGTGGGGGTCCGGGCTGCACGAGTGCCTGCCCCACACAGGCAGACCCTGCGGGTTCACATGCTGCCTCGTTTTCCAGGGGGCCCTTCTGGGGGCCCACAGCCTGAGAGCCGCTTCCTGAGGCGATGTCTCCAAGGTTGTGACTCTGAGACTGAGCAGTTTGGCAGCATCTGAGTGGCAGGTGCAGCTTCCCAGGTATCTTCTGGGTCCTGGGCAGGTGAGGGCCGAATAGGCGTTCCTCCATGCTGTCCGACAGGTCCATTCCCCGGTTTCCCTGGCTAAGACGGCTGTGTGTGTATATTCGGTGTGCACACGTCACTGATGCGCCCTCTTAGGTGATCCAGGTCCAAAGGGATGGGGAGCGGGGTGGTCCTTCAAGCGACCATGCAGCCGAGCACCCCACTGACAGGAGCTGGGGTGTCACAGCTTGGCCTCTGAGGTCCCCCCGGCCTCCATCGCCGCCCGAGAGTGATTGTGAAGGTTGATCAGGACACTATAGATAAAGATTCTAGCAAGGCTTCCCAGTGTCGGCGCAACGACTGGCACCCACCACCAGTGACTTCCTGCTCTGCAAGAAAAGGCGACAGTGGTTTCCGCTGCTTGTGGGGAGCACCTGGGGGAGGATGACGGGGCGCAGGTGCTGGCACCCTCTGAGTCCCACTAGACCCAGAGGCCAGGCTGGAAGGCCACGCAGCCCAGCCCCCCTGCAGGTCGCAGCCAGCACCTCTGGGGGGGCTCCGGGGGGAGAGGCTCGCTCTAGCCAGCCGTTTCTTTTGACTCGGGAGACACTACCCGAAATCCCCTCGAACCTTTGCCTGGCACCTCCTGGGAAGGCATCCTGCTTCCTCACCTGCCGCCACGGATGAGCCACTGGGATGCCCGCCCCCCCCCCCCAAGCCCACCTCCTCCCTGATATCCGTGGTGGCCCAGACCGAGCACGGCGTTGCCTCTGGAGCGGCCTGGCTCATTGGCCTTGAGTCGCCTCCCACACTGACCCCACGTTCCTCCCCTTCAGCAGCCCAGCGACCGGAGCCACGTGGCTCCTCGTGCCACCCATCAGGTGGAGACCCCCGTGCTGAGAGCAGCACGCGAGGGCGGAAGGCATCGCGGAATATGCGAGCTGCCCAGGCCACCCCGGAGGAAGGCGTTCCCAGGACGGGGTGTGAGGGAGCATGTCACTTCAGATGCCTGCGTCCGAGGGCATCTTACGCCTGCGTATGTGTGATGGTGGATAAACGGAGAGGAAATGGGTGCTCAAGGGTCCGCTGTTCAGTCAACGCTGTCCTCGGTCTTCGCCGTCCCTCCCCATCTGAAGGCCGGCCGCTGACGCCATTAAACGCCCTGCGTGAGGAGGTGCAGGCGTTCTCCCGGCCAATTTGCACCTGCAGATTTCGACTTCTTGTTACGGCGATCAGGTCAGGTAGGGGCCACAGGTGAACCACTGACTTTCCACAGAGCAGTCGTATCAAGGTCAAGATGCCCATTTTCCATAAGCAGCTCCTTCCCAGTAATTCTGCCTGCTCGCTACATTTTTCTTTTCAAATGGGAAAACTGCAGGTCAAGATGGTTCGACATGCATCCACTTAAACCCTGATAAAGGTGATTAAAATAAAGTAAAATATGCTATCCCGCTAAACCCTGCAATTTCATTTAGGATCATGCAGGAGGCTCAGACTGAGCTTTGCATCGGAAAAAGTTGGATGTGAAACCAGTCTTGCTGCACGTGGCACTGAATTCTGCTGTGCGCAGCCCGCTTCCCCCACTGTTCTCAGAAGGCATGGAGTGTGTCCTAGGCTTTCTCTAAAGCATTGCTTTGGACCGGGCACAACCTACAGCGCTCGGGCTCAGCATCTGCCCACCTGCTCCACCAGGACGTTTTTTAAAAAATACCCTACGGACCCTTGCAGGCAGACCCAAAGCACCAGCCTTGTGGGCCTGGGACCTGGCAGGATCCCCCAAAGTCTCAAGCAGACCCTTGCATTAGCCCTGCTGGCCAGGCCTGGGAGACCAGGCAGCTGGGGCCTCGGAGCCGTGGCTGGGCTGCCCCCTCCCTGCCCCCCAGGGGTGCAAAGCCAGCTTGGATGCCAAGGTACGTTCGGGCACTCCAGCCAGGACTGCAACGGGGCCTGTCTCAAGGGGGGGGGGGTTGCAAACGAGGTGCTGCACCCACCTGAAGACGTCCACCCCCCATCCAGCGACGGCAGTGAAGATCCTCGGCAGCAGGTCCCGGGAAGGATTGATGGCGTAGCCGGTGGCCGTGCCCATGACATGCCGATCGCTGCCACCAGCAGCCCCGTGACGAAGGCCCCCGTGCCCAGAAGGGCAGCCGCGCTCCTCGCGCCGTCGGTGGCAAGGACGCCAATCGGGAGCACACTGGCCGCAACGAACGGCGGGGAGGAGAGGGGGGAGCGCGTGACCGTCGGGGCCCCCGGGGCTTCTCAGGAACAGGGACGGGAACTTGCGAAGGGACCGGCCCCCTATCCTGGCCCAGCCCTCCCCCAGTCGCACGCCTCATAACTGCTTGGGTGCCAAGGGCAAGGGATCGCTGAGGGATCGCGGATACCCTACCCATTCTAGTAAGCATGCTTTGATTGATTGATTGATTGATTGATTGATCGATCGATCGATCGATCGATTGGCCACCCATCAGCCTGTGCTGCCCATCATTGTTGGCAATGTTGAACTCTGGGTCTGAGGCAGCGGCAGGCGGCTTCCCATGGTCCTGAGACGTTTCTGGGCAGAAGCCCCCTCATGACCCCTTCACAGGGGGAACAGCACCACTCAGCAAGTTTCTAGCTCTGGTGGAGGGTCTGCCAGCATAGAGAGGGATGCGCAACCGACCCTGGGAGGCCAGGAAGGGGCGCGAAGGCATCCTGCCTCTTTCCAGCCCTTCCCTTGATAGCCGAGGGGCTGCCCACCCGTCCTCGCGCACTGACACGTACGGGGCTGCGTGAGTGGCAAAGATGCCCCCCGTGGCCGTCGGCCCAGTCGCTGTCAGGTTGCCCCCGTGTCATCCCGCAGAGCCTCTGGGATGGGAGGAAACGGGCACACGGAGCCCTTGGATACGGACCAGAGAGGCCCAGTGGAGGAGAGGAGACCGCAGACACGGACTGGAGCTTCTCAGCGAACCGGGACACATCCTGGAACCATCCTGCCCTCGGTGAACAGCGCCCTTGGCAGCGAGAAGCCCCCTTCGCTGCCAGCGGGAGCTTCCACTCCCCCCCCCCCCAGACGCTCCTGCATGGGCTTTGTAGTGCATGCCAGGAGAGAAGGTTACCCTGCTGCCGATGTGCACCAGGATCCTGGCCTGGGGGCCGCACCGTCGCACGCAGGGCAGCGGCCCTCCCCTGCTGCCCCCGGGGGCTTGCTCACGGGGGGAGCTGCCCTGAGGGGCGTGGCGGCACATCCTCCGCTCACGTGGCAGGGATTGGGGCCACGCAGCAGCCGTGGGAGCCCGCCTGGCCCCGTCCGTTCCCAGGAGGAGGCCTGGCCCGCCAGCAGGACCTTCCGCCCTTTACGTGGGCACGGGGGCAGCTCCTGGCAGAGGAGTGAGTGACGACGGGGCCATACTGGCTGCGGCCCCTTCGCACGGAGAGAAAAAGTCCGTGCTCAGCCGTAGCTCCTGCCTGTGTGCGTTCAGGGAAGCTTCTTTCCGTAGCCGGCTTCACGCAGCCGGGGAAGGAAGGGGGGCCCGGAGGCTCCTCCCCCCGCCCTGCGCTTGCCGGTCACAGCCGCCCCGTCCTCGGTGACCCACACCAGGCGCAGGTCATCCTGTCGTCCGGACATGGCACGATGGGCCACCGGGCCGGCTTCCTGCCCTGCAGCCCCAGCCCTGTGATGAAAGCCAGAAACACACGGCGTGACAAAGGTACAGGAAACGTGTGCCAGGCCCAAGCCCAAGCTGCAAAACGCCGGCCAGCCCCGCAGGCTCTTCTGCAAGCCAGACATCGCGTCCAGCCAAGGAGAGAGAAGGACGCATTTGTGGGCACCGGGGGAAATCCTCCATCAGGCTCCTGATGCCACTGGAAAAAGGTCGGCAGTGCAATACCAGTATTAAAACAGGAATCTCGCAGCGGGACTCGTGAGCGTGCATGGATGCGAAAAAATTGAGAAACGTCTTTGAGGAGCAGGGCCGGGTTTCCAAGAAAACATTCTTGGGCCCTGAGCCTTTTCTGTGAACGGGTAATTTTCCCTCTCGCCCTCTTCTTGCAGGACTTCGGGAGGGGGCGAAGCCTTGGGGAGAGTCAACATACAAAAACAGCAGAGGAAGCCGTGAAGGATCCCAGGAACTGGCCGATCACGTGGCGCCAGGGGAGCCTTCCAGTGACGCGGTTGGCGAACGTGATGGATGCCTTCATGTGGGCCCCTTCCGTCAGCAGCAGCCGGAAATCGGCATGACAAGAGGTGGGGCAGGTCTAATTGTAGTGTAAAAAGCAGCAGCAGCAAAAATAATATTTGACATCACCTCTCCACCTCTACCTGCACCTCACCAATTTTTACTAGGGGCATTTGATATGGAGATACAATTAAAGTGCAACAACGAGCATCCTCTAAACATTCCTCAACAGAGGAAATGGGAAATGGCTCTGCGACGGCGTAGCAAAGGAAGCGTGTGCCCCCTCCCTCTCTGCATCACAGGCCGGCTGCAGCAGTGGCAAGCGGCTCCCTACCTGCCCGGGGAGGTGAGCGGCTCCCTGCACTCGGGAGCCGAGCATCGGTGGCTCTCGAGGCTGCGTCGGCTCCAGCCACGCCCTGGTGCCGCCCTCACCTGAGACTCCGCCAGCAGCATGGATGCCCAGCATGACTCTGAATCCGAAGCCAAGGCTGATGCTCAGGTACTCCCCGAAGTTCTTCTTTCCCAGCACCGCCTGGGCCACGCTGCCCAAGCCGAGAAGCTGCCAGGAGGAGCAGTGGCTGTCAGCACACCCTTCGTGTTGGCAGGTGAAGGAGGCGCTGGCCCAGCAGCCGGGGAGGCTGGTGAAGGTGGCCAGAAGGCGACAGTGGGAGGAGGGCAGAGAAAGACCTGCTCAGGAGAAGCCGAGGCCCCAGGCAGGCGCTGGGGTCAGGCTGGCCCCTCCCAGAGTTTTACTGAATGGCACGGACACCTTCCCTGTGCTCTCCTTCCGCTTGCACAGCTGCTCTGTGGGCGTGAAAGGAGCCCCTCTGTCAGTGGCAGAACAAACTCTTTCCGTGCACGGGGTCCCGGCTGAAATCCTGCGCATCTCCAGGGGAAGGTTGTCCACCGGGGCTGCAAAGTGACTGGCTCAAGGCCTTGGAGAGGTTTTGCCAGTCAGAGGAGTTCCGCCTGGACCGGCCGGCAAATGGCCCCATTGCTCAAGCTTGGATGGGCGCAGCATCTTCAGCCTCACCTGTGGCATCCCCTTCTCCGCTCTCGCCTTCTTTCCCAACGAGAAGGTCCCAGCCTTTTCCCTCTACATAGCACAGAGCTCCTGTCCCGTGTCCCCTTCTGGGAACGACAAGAGAAATGCCCATCCCAGCCCAGCATTCCCAGCATGGGACCTGCGATGGACCACGTGAGACCCTCAGCTGTGTCTTTTCTCTGGGGGGGGGGGGGAGCGGATGCTGTTTTGCGTCCGCTGCCCCGCTTCCCCCGGTGAAGTGGGACCTCAATGCCACTGCGAAAGGCCCCTGGAGCCGAAGGGCTACGCATGGCCTTCCAAGCACAGCCGACTGTTTCCGATGTGGCCACGGGCCCACACAGCCACGTAGCCTCCCGCCCCTGGCACGCCCACACAGCAGGCCGCGGCCTCCTCACCATCAGCAGGAACGCCGCCAGGACCTCCGCCAGGGCCTGCCGCACCATCCCGTCCCAGATCGTCACCAGGCTGAGCGCTCTGTCCAGCATCTGGGTGCCAGGCATCCTGGAGAGTCAGTCCCTGTCGGACAGGCAGGGATGCCGCCAAGGGTCGAGTCCGTGCATGCTGTGCCACAGGCACCTCGCTGTACGTCGCCTCCACCTTGTCCGTATATGACAGTCTGGTTAAAGGCTAAATGGACAATTAAACGGTGGAGGGCTGTGCGAGGCTGTGCTCTCTCTCCACCCCTCCTCCTTCCTTCCTTCCTTCCTTCCTTCCTATCCTCTGCCCCATGAGCCACTGAGCAATTCACAAGCAAATCCTCGGAGCATCAGCCCTGCTTGGGAGAGAAGATGACCCGCCTCAGGGGGAGCCTGCAAGCTCCGAAATCCGATCCGGCACATGAGGGGTGACAGGACGGCGCATTGAATTCGGAGGGGATTCGGAGGTCATGCCAAAGGCAGCCGCTCGAATGGAAGTGCTTGAAGCGCCTGCAGGAGCTCACTCCAGAGCTGAGGACACGGAGAGATCGTGCCACATATCATTGCGGCAGGACGATTTGCGAGGCCCCTTCCCAGCAGTGAGGCCGATCCCAGCCATTGCTGGACGGGGACACAAATCACGCCATCGGGCAGCGGTGCCCAAGCGAGCCATTTGCAGAAAAATAAACGAGGGAGCGCGATTGTTTTCCCTGGAACGGGCCCACATTCCCCGAATCCTGCAGAAATGACTCTCCGTTTTCTTCTGATACAGCAGATACTTCTATTGTGCTGCGGTTTATGCAATGAGTTACATAGATAGAATCACATAATAGTTACTGGTGACTACCCCGTATATATATTTCTCTTTCATAATACGGTAATAGTGGCATTAAAACAGCGACAAAAACAGCCTTGAAGATAATAAAGGAGCTGCAGACCAGCGTGTGCTGCTTGCGTTCCTCTTGGCTCAACTGCTCAGCCTTTCGGGAAGGAGCTCCGAGGGAAGATACGGCAGCAGTTTTCAATAACCTAGTCTGAAAAACGCTTGCGCGATGCAGCACCGGAAAATGCTGCCTCGGAGAGGCTGTGGCTGAACACATCCTTTTGGATTCCTGGGAAAAGGAGCAGGAAGGGCGCTCCTGAGGCCTCTCTTGGCCCTGACCTGCGTCTCTGCACTCCCATCATTTCCGAGGCGCCCTTCGTATGCGACAGCAGCTGCGTCATGTGTGAATGCGGCATCTGCAGTGCAGAAGGAGGGAGAGGGACAGGCGGCCTCCCATTCAGACAGGACTTCTGGGCAGAGAAGAAAGAGGTTGCTTGTGAAAGCACCAGGCAGTTGGGCATCACGTGCACCTCCGGTGCTGAACCTGAAGCCTGCAGCCCGAACCGGGATCACCTGCCGCTCCCTTTCAGCCTTCCCAGTTCCTCAGGCAACCAAGGTGCAGCCTCCAATCCACCACTCAAAAACCATTTGTGCTTTCTCAGCCACGTGCGCATTTCCCCCAGTCCTGAAAGGACGAGGTGTCCCCCCTAAAGCTTCGCAAGGTAGAAACTGCGGGTCCCTCAGACAAGCACCTGCCTTTGTGAAAGCGCCAGGAAATGAATTACCTGGGGCCGGAAAAGCAGGACCAAAGCGCACCAGTGACTCGCTCACGGAGGACGGATCCTGCCCTCCTCAAAGGGAAACCAGGGGGGGAGACCAGAGGCACCTTTGCTTCTTCCTGAGCTTGTGAAGATCCAGGGAGTCTCCCAGCGGGGGGGGGCCTTTGAAGCCCTGGGGGGAGCCCTCCCCGGTTGGAGGGGTGGCTTTCTGGGCTCCTTGACTGCGTGCCAGTGAGGAGTGGATGGGGCCCTGCATCCACGGAGCATCCAGACTGATGCCTGCGAGAGAGACTCGCTGGTTGCGCAGCATGGTGCAAGCCTTCGCCTGGCGCGGGCGAACAAGCACGGAGAAAAAGGAGGATCCTGTCGCTTTTCGGGGCGCTCCTCACCAACTCCTCTGAAGGTGCACAGTGCGCCTCCCTGGCCCTGGTCCTGCCCTGCAGAAACAGCCTGCGCGAGCCCAGCAGGGACCACAATGCGCGTGACGTGACGGGAGCCGGTGCCGGCCACCCTTCCCCCGCCGACGCCGTTCCCACTCCCAACTGCCCAGCACCGTCCCAACTGCCGACTGCGCTGCCTCCGCCACGTTCCAGGCGGAAGCCGGCTGCTCGCCCTGCCCTGCCTTCACCAGCCCGGAGCCCCATCCCGGGGTCAGAGCGGATTTCAGCCCTCGTGCGTGGAGAAGCTGCGGCATGCCTGGAGTTGAAGGGCTGGGATTCATCCCTGGAGTGCCCAAACCCAAAGCTCTCTGGGCAGTTTGCAAAGAGCGAAACAGGAAAATGCAACATAATGAAATATGGAAGTCGAACAGAATTACACCAGAACGAAAGCACCTGTGGCAAAAGATCCACACACTGCAGGAGCAGCTTTAAGAACAAATTTGATGGGTTCTTAAACAAATTTGAGAATAAAAACCCTAAGGAAATGGAAAGCTCTTGATGTTTTGGGGCCCAAAAAACCACAATCCAGGTAACATTTTCAGTGTGTTTTCCCTGGGCAGCCACAGACCGCGCTGCCTCAGGGGTGGCTGAGCAGCTGGCCATTTTCCAGTCCCAAACCGCTTTCCTTCACAACCCTCAACTCATCCAGGCTCCCTGGAGATGCGAAAATGTGTGTCCATGTGTGCACACATACAGACTGGACCCCAGACCTTCAGGTTGTGAGGAACTAAGTCCAAGAAGATTTTCTAAGGCTGTAGGAGATCAGCTGTGATTGGTAGGAAAAAAGCATGTAATCTGATGAATTTTCGGCCATGTTACTGCACATTTGCAGTTCAGCAGGATGCGACACCCCCCAAATCAGGCATTTCTTCATCTAATCGTGTCTTCAGTGTATCCTGACAGATATGTTGACCAAAGTGCCCGTCTCCTGCTGGACGTGTGCCCAGAAGGCACAACACGTAAAGGTTTTCTTTGAGAGGATTGTCGAGAATAATCATCTACCAGCGAGTCGTTCCAGATGACGCACCTGAGCAGTCTGCAGGTGGCCCCTTTACACACTGACCGTTAGAGGGTTGCACATAAGACAGACAGCCAACCCTTTCCACTAGGTTGCAGAAGTGAAACGTTGCACTGGCGCGATCTTTCCCACTTGCACACCGAAGAGGAGGTGCGTGTGGAGGGCTGGGGCGAATCGCCCTTTGGTTGCACTTCTGTTGTCTGTCAAGGGCCAGCTTGCTGTTTCTGGACGGTGACTGGTCAGAGGCAGCCGAATTTCAGGGATGCGCACAGCAGATTTCTAGAAAAGGGGGGTTTTCTTAGACCTGGGCGTGTGTCACGGATTGTGTGGTTCAACCAGTGCAAGTTCTGTCCATTGATCTGAGCAGCAGACAGATCCTGGCAGCAGTCTGGTGGACTCTGGTGATGAGCAAACCAATGACTATAAAATGATGCAGGGAAGGCATGCAGCCATTCGCAAAGCTAGACACTGCTGGCTAGAGGAAGCTTTACTGTTGGAGAGCAGCATGTGCTTTTCCCGGGACTGCAGCTGAGCGGTTCAGGCAGTGTCTCAATGCAGGCCGGTCGACACAGGACTGATAGCAGCCGGGACCAAAGAGCAAGGGACACGTCCCTCCGCATCTCCGGAGGACCCCCCACCCCCCCCCCACCCCTGGGGGACCTCCCCCCCCCCCCCCTTTGGAGTATCTTTCACATTTGCACAGGGAGGAGTCGTGCCATCGCAGTGACACCTCCGCAGCCTGTTTAAAATGCTTGCTGTTTTAATAACCCTCCAATGGACAGCACTGAAAAGGAAAAAGCGAGGACTGCCTGGCGCACCTGCCTGGAAAGTGTCGTTGGCAGCCGTGTTATTCTCAAGAGTCGGACTCGGAAAAGATGACCTTCCCCGTTGTGTGATTGTGGGCCATGCACAGCAGCACTCGGGCCTTTTGGTGTGCGGACACGTCCAGCTCTACACCTCAGGGATGCGCCTGCACTCACACACACAACCGCAACGCGGTTGCACTTCCCACCCAATGGGCTTCTGTCCGTTCAAAGCGATGCAAACCTAAATATGTGTGTAAAATCCCCGAGAGCCCCAGCAGGGGGCAGTGCAACCCCAGAAGCGCAGGCCTTCTCTGCATGGCCAGGGCTTCAGAACGCCTGGGGGAACCTGGGCTTTGTGGTGGAGATTACGCTGCAATTTAATTTTTATTTATTTAATTTTTTTAAAAAGACCGGCGGGCATTGTGGTGCTTGTCTGCAAACCGCACAAGGCTGTGCGTTGTGTCCGCTGCAAGCACAACCGGGGCCTGTGGTCCCATGAGGCAGGGTGCATCCCACGCCTCACATGGCAGACCCCCCCACACCAAGCAGCTTGCTTGCCCCCCACTGGGAGCCCAGGAGGCCCCTGGCTTCGAGGCCTCCTCCAAGCGAGGCCCCGGGGCAGGCGGGGAGTCCGAAGAGGCCTCTGGGGCACGTGCCCCAGCCGGGAACCGGCAGCACAGCGAGGGACCGGGGCAGCAGTGGGGGGGGCACATCTGTACCCCCAAGCAGGACCCTCCAGGGAAGGAAGAGAAGGGTTTTGGGGGCGCAGTGGGGGGCGCTCTGCTGAATGGTCAGGCCAGCTTAGGAGCTTTATGACATCTTCAGTATTCACTTTTTATTCGTTTTATTCCTGTACTGCCCAGTAGCCAAGGCTCCCTGGGCGCTTTACAACGCAAGAATACAGCAGTTGGTTGGTGGAAGTTTTTATATGCTGCCCAGTCATGATAAAATCGACTGCCGCGCGAGCAGCACCCCTCTTCCCCGCCGCGTGACGCAGCCTTGGCCTGCAATGCCCGCCCACCTCCAGCAGCACGCCACTCCATCGCGCTGGAGGAAAGAACCGCCGCATGTGCAAGCAGATGCAAGCAGACGCGCGCTCCCACGACGTCGACGGAAGCCAGCTCCAGAGGCCAGCGCAGGCGCACGCGGCGCCAGAGCGTGCTGCCCGCCGGCCCAGGTGATCGGGCGCGCGCGGTGCACAACGGGGGGGGACTCGGA